GATGCCTGGGCCTCCTGCCAGCACCCCAACCCAGAGATCGTGACCTGCGTCTGTGCGCATTCAACAGCAACAAATCATGGCCGGGGCTCGAACTCGGGGCCTCGGGCGCTGCCCCTGAGTGGCCGCCTGGGAAGGTCGGGAGGGCTTCCCGCGCCGGCTGCGGCCCGCAGAGTTCACTTCCTGGGCCCAACGTCAGACAGACGGGCAGACAGACAGACAGACAGACGGACGGGCAGATAGAGCCCTGCAGGGCCGCACCTGCGCTCCTTGCTGCCCTGGAATTTCCCCCTCCCTCCCTCCTTCCCTCCCTCCCTCCCTTCCTTCCTTCCTTCCCTTCTCTCCCTCCTTCTGTTCCTCCCTTCCTTCCCTCCCTGTCTCCCCCCTCCCTTCCTTCCTTCTCTCCCTCCCTCTGTTCCTCCCTTCCCTCCCTCTCTCCCTTCCTCTGTTCCTCCCTTCCCTCCCTCTCTCCCTCCCTCTCTCCCTCCCTTCCTTCCCTCCCTCTCTCCCTTCCCACTTCCCCCTTTTTTTCTCCTCTTTCCTCCTCCTCCAGTTCCTCTTCCTCCTCCTCCTCCAGTTCCTCTTCCTCCTCCTCCTCCTCCCCTTCCTCTTCCTCCTCCTCCTCCCCCCCTTTGTGTGCCTGTACTGGGGCTTGAACTCAGGGCCTGGTGACACTACCATTTGAGCCACAGCTCCACTTCTGGCTTTTCGTCGCTGCACTGGAGACGGGATCTTGGCGCTGGCCGCTTGGAGGCAGGCACTGGCTAGCTCCTTTCCCAGTGCTGGGTTCCTGTCAGCCAGCTAGTGAAGGCTGTAGTGCTGGCCAAGGGAAACACTGGAACCACCTAAGGAATTCTGCTTGTGTGTCTTCAAGTTTGCACGGCAGGAAGTGGCATCAGTGTCCATTCGTGGAGGGGCCCCTGGAGGTGGGTTTTGGCCTGTTTAGGGCGCGGGGTCTGGAAAGGCTGTAGCGTGGGGAGCAGCTCACTTGACGGGAACATGGTGGAGGGATCCAGGGTGGGCCTCTGGGGGACCCTTGGGTCCTGGCCAGCTTTCCTGGCCTTGGGCACGTGGGGAGGAGAGGAAGCGAACCTCGGTCGCTGAGGGCTGTGATGGAGCCTTCACCTAAAAGCTCTTGGGAGAAATGAGCAGCATGTGCTATTTTAGGGAAAAAGGTAATATAAACTAGTCAGAGATGGTGGTGCCCACCTGTAATCCCAGCACGTGGGGTGTTGGGGCAGAGGTAGGACTGAGTATTCCAGGTCAGGTTGGGCTGCATAGTGAGATTGTGTGTGTGCGCACATGTGTATAAGTGTGCGCGTGCGCACATGTGTATGAGGGCTTGAACTCAGGGTGTGTCATTCTTCCTCAGTGCTTTTGCTCATAGTTGGTGCTCCAAACTGCTTGTTTGAAGGTAATTGGACATATGTCTGATTTGTTTGCCTGGCTGCCACTGAAACCCAAGATTCCCACATCTCAGGATCTGAGTAGCCAGGATTGTAGGTGTGTCCACAGCACTCAGCTACACAGAAAATACTATATATGTATGTGTGTACACATAATTATCTTTGGTTACAGTTCTAGTTCATATTTTGGGTTATTTTTTTTTGCCAGTCCTGGGGCTTGAACTCAGGGCCTGGGTGTTGTCTCTGTTTCTTTTTCTCGTCTAGTGCTCAAGGACTGAGAATGTGGCTCAGTGGTAGAGTGCTTGTCTAGAATTCATGAAGCCCTGGGTTTGATTCCCCAGTACCACATAAACAGAAAAAGCTAGAAGTGGCACTGTGGTTCAAATGGTAGAGTGCTAGCCTTGAGCAAAAGAAGCTCAGGCATAGCATGCAGGCCCTGAGCTCAAACTTCAGGACTGGCAAAAAAAAAAGTTTGCTTGACCACTTGAGCCACAGCACCACTTCCAGCTTTTTTGGTGGTTTATTGGAGATAAAAGTCTCACAGACTTTCCTGCCTGGGCTGGCTTTGAACCTCGATCCTCAGATCTCAGCCACCTGAGGCGTGAGCCACAGGTACCCAGCCTGAGGCTTTTTTTGGATAGATAGATGATGCACTTTTTTGTATGCTGCTTGAAATCATGGCCTTGTATACACAAGCCAAGCAGCTTATTCCCAGCTGGCACTCTGTCACTTAATCTGTGACTCCAGTCTGGCTTTTTGTTGGCTAATTGGATATGGAGCCTCATAGACTTTTCTGTCCAAGTTGGCTCTTATCTACTATCTTAACATCTTAGCCTCTTGTAGCTAGGATTTCAGATGTGAGCCAGTAGTGCCTATCAGGCAGGTGTGTGTGTGTGTGTGTGTTTCCAATGTGAGCCAGTAATGCCTATCAGGTAGGGGTGTGTGTATGTGTTTCCTGGTGCTTGAACTGAGGGCCTTGAGGCTTGCACTTGGATTTTCCCCTCTAAGCTAACACTCTGCCAATAGACATATGCCTTCAGTTCTGACTTTTTTGGTTGGTTAATTGGAGGAGGTAAGTCTCCTGGATGTTTTCTTTCTGGGCTGGCTTTGAACCTGGATTCTCAGATCTCCGCTTTCTGAGTAGCTCGGATTACAAGTGTGAGCCACCAGTACCTTGTGAACATAACTTTTTTGTTGTTGTTGTTAGTCCTGGGGCTTGAACTCAGAACCTGGGCACTGTCCCTGAGCCTCTTTGTGCTCATGGTTAGTACTCTACTACTTGAGTCACAGCACCACTTCTGACTTTTTCTGAGTAGTTTATTGGAGGTAAGCGTCTCACGGGCTTTCCTGCCTGGGCTGGCTTGGAACCGTGATCGGCATCTGAGCTTCCCGAGCAGCTAGGATTATGGGTGTGAGCCGCCAGGGCCCGGCTGTGATGACACATACTCGTGTTCCCGGGTCTCTTGCAGCAGTCGGATGCCTAGAAGGCTACAGTCTTCCCTTGTCTGCAGTGTAACACTTCAGCCAACCACAGTCTGAAAATATTACGTGGAACGTTCTAGAATATTAACAATTCATAAATTGTGAGCCATTCTTCTTTCAGTGTATTGTTGGGGTTGTTCTACTTTATGGTTATCACTTTAGGTTCTATTTTTATGTGTTGTAGTGCCTGGTTTGGAACTAAACTTGATCCTGTGTGTGTGTGTGTCTGTCTGTCTGTCTGGGGAGCTACAGTCACAGGTGCTTTCAGGCCCCCGCTGGGGGCGGGGACGGGGGCCGTGGGGTGGCCAGGCCGCCCGCAGGTCTCCGAGACCCCCTGGATGGCAGAGGTGGCCCTAGGTCTTTTTCTTTCGCACGTGGACTGGGCAGAGGGTCGAGTGGCCTGTCCCAGGCAGCCCCGTCTTCTGGCAGCCGTGGAGCCAGGCCCGCATCCCTGCCCTGCAGTGTCTGACGCTGGCACTTGTAGGACTCAGTGCTGCGGCCATTAGCCATGGGGTTGTTTCCATGAAATCATGAGGTTCAGGAAGAGCATAGCAAGCGCCTCCGTCACAGCTGGGGGTGGGGTGGGGTGGGGGCGGGCACATGGCTGGGCGCACGCGCAGGCCATTGCCAACCCACGAAAAGGCCCTGGGCGCATGCGCAGGCCATTGCCAACCCACGAAAAGGCCCTGGGCGCACGCGCAGGCCATTGCCAGCCCACGGAAAGGCCCGTGGCGCATGCGCAGGCCATTGCCAGCCCACGGAAAGGCCCTTGGCGCATGCGCAGGCCATTGCCACCCACGGAAGGGCTGTGCTGCCCAGAGTGGCCTCCCAGGACCAGTGGTTGTAACTCCCTTGCTTCCCAGAAGCTCATGATGTTGGTGCACGCCCCGCAGTGTTGGATATTCGGACAGCCCTCTCCTGCTGAGCTGCACCACTGCCCTTGTTCCTACTTTTTTTTTTTCTTTCTTTTGGGTGATGCTGGGCTTGAGAGGTTGCTACCACACGAGCCATACCTCCAGTCCTGTTTGTATGTGTGTGTATACACAAGCACATGTGTACTGGGGCTGGAACTTGGGGCCTCTTGTTCTTTGGCGTTTTCCCTCATGGCTGGTGCTGTACCATGAACACATTTTGTGGATGATTTCCGCCTGGGCTGCCTGAGCCTCCAGTCTCAGCCTCCTGAATAGCGAGGATTCCAGGCGTGAGTCACCAGTACCTAGCTAAAAGAGGACTATTCTATCACATGGGGCGTTGTATGAAATTCAAGTTGCAGTGTCACCTATAAGATTTTTTTTTCCTGCTTCTTGTTTGGTGAAAGCTCTGGGCCTTGAACTCAGGGCCTGGGCACTGCCCCTGAGCTTTTTGGTGCTCAAGTCTAGCATTCTGCATTTGAGACACAACTCCACAAAGTACTTCTTAGCAATTAATTGGAGATAGAGTGTCATGAACTTTCCTGCCCAGGCTGGCTTTGACCCAGAGTCTTCAGATCTCAGGCTCCTGAGTCGCTGTGATTACAGGTGTAAACCACCTGCGCCTGGCTTTCGTCCTCTGTTTTGTTAGGAAATGAGGCGCAAACCTTCAAGGAGCTTGGGAGGTGGTGGAGCATCTGCAGGAGACCAGAGCGGGGCCTCCAGTGGGAGTGGCCTCCAGTGGAGGAGTGGAAGGGGGGAAACTGAGACCTGTTAGCTTTACATTTTTGAAAAAGTGTCTATAATTCTTTCACTGAAGAGTTTAACCACGTTAAGTTCTTTCATTTTCGATGGCGCTAGCTGGAACCCAGGCCTTGTGCATGCTTGGCAAGTGTTCTGCCCGAGCCACCCGCTGCGCATGCACATGCGCTTCGCTTTCCTTTCTCTTTTTTTTTTTTTTTTGGCCATACTGGGGCTTGAACTGGGGCTCACACTTGCTAGCAGGTGTTCTACTCTTGGGTAGTGCGTCCAGCCTCTGCAGTCCTGCCTCTGCCTCCCAAGTGCGGGGGTCGCAGTAACGGCTTACTGTGTAAGAATTGATGCAAATACTCAACTATCTGACACTTAACAGATCCTACATGCCCTGTCCTTTTTTTTTTTTTTTTGTCGGTCGTGGGGCTTGAACTCTGGGCCTGAGCGCTGTCCCTCAACTCTTCAGCTCAAGGCGAGCGCTCTACCACTTGAGCTACAGCGCCACTTCGGGTTTTCTGGTGGTTTATTGGCGATAAGAGTTTCACGGACTTTCCTGCCCAGGCTGACATTGAACCTCGATCCTTGGATCTCAATCTCCTGAGTAGCTATGATGACAGGCGTGAGCCACCAGTGCCCAGCTCATGCCCTGTCTTTAATGAGATCACAGAACATTCCGACACTAGAGCAAAGGCAGAGTGACAGTCACGTTTGCGTCAGGCCAGCTGTGAGTCTGAATTTTCTTCTAGTGCGTTCCTGGTGTGACAAAGCATTTCGCCATGATGGTAGTAATAGTGTTTGCAGCTCTTTGGAAATTTACCCTTTCGTGCCGTGTCTTCTAGTGAACAGTGAGGTGTTCTCCCGCCCTCTCCTTTGCTCGTGGCCGTGTCTGTTGCTCCCAGGCTCTGGCAGTTCTGAGCAACAGCAGTGGGCCCATGTTGAGGTCCTTCCTCAGTATGCACTGGCAGAAGTGGGGTTCCTAGATGAGCACATCGAGAAGGCCTTCACCCTTGTCTCTGAAAGCGAAGGCTGGGGGTGGGGGGGGTCACCCACCACTGCTCCGACATGGTCAGGCATCTCCACTGTGGAGCCAAGCACTGCTGAGTGTTCGTGCACCTCCCTCCTCGGGAGGTTAAAGCACCTCTGTGCGTGCTGGCGTTGCAGCAGTGAGTGTGACAGAGCACACTGGAGACACACCGCAGGCCCAGGAACACCTCGGCTCTCCCCACCCCTAGTTACTCACGCCTCACTAATTTACACTCGCTATTTATTTTGTTTTAATTAAACAGGAAAGAGCCAGACTTCTCAGAGGTCAGTCTGTTCAACAAGTGGGACCCCAGGGCCTTCTGTATGTTCAGCAAAGAGAGCTTGCAGCCACCTCCCCAAAGGATGGTAGGTTAGGACGCCGTCAAGTGGGCGCTGCTCCCCGACGCGACCGGATGCTTCATTTTATTTCTTTTTCGAACAGGCTCCGTCTCCATTCTGGGTTCTGATGATGCCACCACTTGTCACATTGTGGTCCTGAGGCACACAGGTATGCTCAGAGGCGAAGGAAGCAGCCACGTGACCCCTCCGCGCATGCGCCAGGCCGGCTGGCTGCTGGCATCTGTCTGGTGTCCTGGTCGGAATGGGTTGGCTGGCAGCGCGGCTGCTCTCTCTTCTCTACCCCTGTCTCTGTCTCTCTTTCCCAGGGCATCCAAAGATGAGGTGGGCCGAGTGGACAGGAGCGGCCTTGGCTCGCGTGCACGCTTGCCACGAGGGCTAACAGCCGTGTCCCCTTCTTCTCCAGGTAACGGGGCCACCTGCCTGACGCACTGTGATGGGTCGGACACCAAGGCCGAGGTGCTGCTGATCATGAACGCCATCAAGTCCTTCTCCGACCACGCGCAGTGTGGAAGGTGAGCGCCGCGCTGGCGTGGAGGGCACGGCGCTGGCTGGCCGTGGACATTTGACTTTGAGCCCTCAAGTGCCAGCCCGCCGCACCCCCGCGCCGCCAGCCTCCCGCCGCCACTCGGTCACTTCTCCAGCATGGGCTGTTTGTGGGTTCCGAACCGGCCTGCCCGTCCCCCCTCAATGTCCCCCGCACAGCACGTTACACAAGCGGTACACAGTGGAGTCCCGTTTGTCTAGCCCAGGGCCAGCTGCCACACCAGTGCCCACACCCCGTCCCTCCTCCCTGTCACTAGACCCCGCTCTCCTCTCCACCTCACCTGCCCCGTGAGCCCGTGAGCCCGTGAGCCGGCCGGCCAACTCCACGCTTAGGCCAGCCTCCCTCCTAAAATGTGAATGTGCGCAGGCGCGCGCGTGTGCCGCCGGCTGGGGCAACAGCGCCCCCTGCAGGTGGCTCAGCAGCTCGGGGGCCAGGTTAGGTATTCTGTGTGCCTGGAGGCAGCGTGCGGGACGGGTCCCGCGTGTTCCTTGGGCGGCGGGCTTTGTGTCTGAGCGCAGGCAGGTGGACCGCAGCACCGGCTGCGGGGCTGGGGAAGGGAGGCAGTGAAGAACGTTTGCTTTTGCAGCTATCGCCCTCGTGGGAACCCTGCCAGGCACACGCAGGGCGGGGCCACGGCCTTTCTCTCTCCTCCATCTCAGGGACCCTGCTGATGCTCAGCCTCTTGCAGAAGGGGCTGGTGCTACAGGCGGCTGATGGCGCCGAGGAGGGCCCCAGCACCCGTCACTAAGCATGCGCACGCCCTGTGTCCCTGTGTCCCGCCGACTCTGAGCCCTGCCCCCTCTCTTCCAGGCTGGAGGTGCACCTTGTGGGGGGCTTCAGTGACGATAGGCAGTTGTCCCAGAAACTGACCCACCAGCTGCTTAGTAAGTGCCACCTTCTCCCTCCGTTCCCGCGCTTGCTCGTGGTAAACACCCCTGGTAGCAGAGCAGCGAGCCACGTGCAGACAGGCCAGGGCCGGCTGCAGCCGCAGACTGACCCCTCGGAGCAGAGTCCACAATGAGGGGAGAGATTTGCTAACACGGAACTGGCACAGTTAGAATAGCTGGCCTGGGACTGCGGCAGCCCGCCCGCAGCCTGGCAGGAGTGCCCAGGGAGGTGCTGGACGCGCAGGCGGCAGCACAGGCAGGGGCTCGCGGGGAGCAGACACTGGCGTGGGAGGGTCACACCTCTACCTCTGGGGACCTGAGTCACCTGATGCGCACACACTTACTTAGGCCCAAGGCTGAACAACACTCGTGACAAATGGAACTGCGTAATGTCTCAGTAGGACAGTTCTGCAGACACTGAACATTGTTAGGGGCTGGGCGTCGTGGCGCGTGCCTAGAAGTGGAGGCAGGAGGCTGAGATCTGAGTATCATGGTTTAAAGCCAGTCCAGGCCAGAAAGTCCTTGAACTCTTTACTTCTACTTAACTATCAAAAAGCAAGAAGTGGAGCTGTGTCTCAGGTGGTAGAGTGCTAGCCTTGAATAGGATCAGTGCCCAGGTTCTGAGTTCAAGTCCCAGGTAGAAATGGCACAAAAAGGGGAGGGGGATTACAACACAAAAGTACTGCTTGCGAGGAGGGCTGGATTCCGTGGGTAAAGGCAGCTGGCGGGACCCGAATCGCAGTACACATGCACTCGTGCCGGAAAGTGAGGCACCACCCTGCCTGTCCCCAGAGCAGCCGGGCGCGGGGCCGGGCGGGCAGCTCGCTTGGTTCTGGCCATAGAGGATGGCGGGCAGAGGCCGCTGACAGCCCCGCACCTCTCCCCTAGTGATGTCAGCCTTCCCGTCCTAACTGTAGGTGAATTTGACAAGCAAGAAGAGGACATTCACCTAGCAACGCTGTGTGTGACAGGTACGTTCTGCCATTTCCTAGTGAGGCTTGCTGTCTACTCCTTGCTGCAGTGGCCTCTTTACTCCCCGGGGCGGAGGGAGGGGTGCGGGGGGGGGCAGAGGAACTGCAGGGAGGGGAGGGGGTGGGAGGTCGCAGGGAAACTCAGCGGGCCTCATTTGTACAGAGTCGGAACAGCAGCTTAGCGCATCCTGACCCCGTATCTTACAGTTGTTTCTCTTTAGAATTAAATGACCGGGAAGAAAACGAAAACCATTTCCCAATCATTTACGGCATTGGTAAGCAGCATTTATTGGAGGGTTGGCGTGGTTACAGGGGCGCAGGCAGGCTTGGGGTTGGAGTCTTGAGGGGCGGACCTGTGATCCACCACTGTTGGAACAGGACAGCCTTGGGTTCGAATCTTGGCTCTGTGGCTTACCCATGAGCACGAAGCTCCACTAACACATCTGTGAAGCCATGCAGAGAAAACAGCACAGCTATGCCCGCACCAACGACGCTGTCACTCAGGCCTCTGCTTTCCCTTGGGTGACCAGGAATCCTACGCAAGTGTGGAGCTCGAGCCCTTCTCCCTCCCCCTCGATCACAATCTAGAGGCTGGAGCAGCAACTTGGCTCCACTGAGGTGGACTCTGCTCTGTCTTGAAGCTCCTGCCCACTGAGCCTGGTGCTCAGTTCTTTTAGTCTCGCTAATTCTGTGTGCATCAAGCACAGTAGTCACAGCCTGCCTGTCCCCCCCCCCCCCCCCGCTCTGGCTGCTGCGCATGTTGTCAGGGTGTAAAGCCCTACTTGCTCTGGTCACATCAGTCTTCTTCCCCTGCAGCTGTCAACATTAAAACCGCCGAGATCTACAGAGCCTCCTTTCGAGATCGAGGCCCAGAGGCGGAGCTGCGGGCTGCCAGGGCGTTAGCAGGAGGCCCGGTGAGTGCAGACTCTTGGAGGGCAGCGGGAGGCAGGAAGAGGGCACAAACAGGGAGTCGGAAGAACCCCAGAAGAGGAGCTGATGGCTGCCTCTCGAAAGCTAAGCTTCCCCAGGACCGTGTACACTTGTTTTACACCTAAGTGCAGAACCCAGGTCTCTGCCTCACAGCTGCAGGAGAGTGGAGGGGACCTCGCTCTCCACTCCACACCCCGGCCCCAGCAGGCCACTGACGATGCATCACATCCCACAGAGCTTCATCTCCTGAGGAAGGCCCCTCAATCTTTGAGCCGCACGGCCCCAAGCTGTAGGTGCTTTTTAAAGACTATTTTAAAAGTAGGGGCTGCACAACACAAGGTACACCCTGGAGAAGAAAAGCCAAAGAGACATTTTCATGCCTCTGCCCTGGGTCAAATGAAAGGGACAGAGGTCCCCCCAGCCTTTCTTCCCCAGCTGGGCAGGGACCACTTTCCCTCCTTCCCAGGGAGCCTCCTATCTGTCTAGCCTTGTGCCAATTAAGGGTGCTTCGCTTTTCACCCTTTAAAAAAAGGGGGGGGGCTGTAGAGGGAAGCTAGGAGGAGGGCACAGAATTAGAGGGAAACAGGAAAAAATACATGAGAGGGGCCCATCAGCCGCACTGGACATTGATGCAACTCAAGGGCAGCGATGGGAGGGGGAATGAACGGGAAAGAGGGAACAGCTCACACTAAGCAAAAGGAAAGAAAGATACACACCCCGAACACAGAAGAAATAGTTGTATTGCCAAGGTTTATAGAATTCACAAACTTTATAGACCATGATAATGACAATTTGCCTTGTGAAGATTAAAATGTATTTGTGACTGTCACTATCCTACAATACTGTAAAATTTATGTTGTCATTTAATCTCAATAAAAAATTAAAAGCCAGGTGCCAGTGGCTCACGCCTGTCATCCTAGCTACTCAGGAGGCTGAGATCTGAGGATCCCGGTTCAGAGCCAGCCCAGGCAGGAACATCCGTGAGACTCTTATCTCCAATAAACCACTAGAAAACCAGAAGTGACGCTGTGGCTCAAGCAGTAGGGTGCTCGCCTTGAGCTGAAGAGCGCAGGGATAGTGCCCAGGCCCAGAGTTCAAGCCCCACAACTGACCAAAAAATAAATAAAAATTAAGAAATATTTTTAAAAAAGTAGGGGCTGTAGACAGGGCTCAGTGTTTGCTTAATGAGCATGAGAACAGGATCATGGATTCAATTCCTAGCACTACCAGAATAAATTAGACAAAAATACTCACATGCCCTGTTTGAGTGGGAGGAGCTGTAGAAACGTTCAGAGTATAAAACGCACTCAAGTCTGGGAACTATGGCATTCCTGGTAGCAAAGGTGATTTGTTCTGCCGGCCTTTTACCCTGAGTTTTCCCTGAGTTTTTTTTTTTTTTTTTTGGGGGGGGTCCGGTCATGGGGTTTGAACTCTGGGCCTGGGCGCTGTCCCTCAGCCCTTCAGCTCAAGGCTAGTGCTCTACCACTTGAGCCATAGCGCCACTTGCAGCTTTTTTCTTTTTGCTTATGTGGTGCTGAGGAATCGAACCCAGGGCCTCATGCATGCAAGGCAAGCGCTCTACCACTTGAGCCACCTTCCCAGCCCATCTGCCGGCCTTTTAATATTCTCAGCATTCCTGTAGTAATCAAGTGGTCTAGACTGGGCACTGCAGGTTAGGTCACCGCTGTGTACTTGGGGAACGGATCATTTGGCAAATCTGCTTTATATGTTTTTATTTGTGCCAGTTCTGAGGCTTGAACTGAGGACCTCAGTGCTGTTACTTCTGCACTCAAGGCTGGCTAGCACTTTTACCACTTGAGGCATAGCTGGTTACTTGAAAGAGTTTCATGGATTTTCCTGCCCAGGCTGACTTTGAACCTCCATCCTCAGATCTCAGCCTCCTGACTAGGATTCTAGGTGTGCACCATTGGTGCCTGGCTTCAAGTTTTCCTTTCTATTGGTAGGCCAGTAGACACTGCAAGCTAAGCAGCCAGAGGTGAGTAACAAGATGGCCATTTTGTGCAGCCCCAGGGAGCACAGAGCACAGCTGCCGCTCTGCCTCAGATAGCGTCGCCATGGGCAGGCGACACGCGGGTGCACTCAGGTGGCGGCAGCCCAAGGCGGCCATGGCAGCGTGCCTTACCTCCGCTCCTTGATTGGTCTCCCCAGATGATCAGCATCTATGATGCACACACACAGCTGCTGCGGATAGGCCCGTATTCTTGGACGCCGTTTCCACACGTGGACTTCTGGCTGCAACAAGATGACCAGCACATACTAGAGGTGAGGACTTCCATCTGCAGACCCTGCCTTCCTCCCCTGTAAGGAAACAAGGGCCTAGAGCAGAGAAGAGCTGAGCTGTTCCTTCCGGGTAGGCTTACCTCTCAGCGTGCTCAGTTGGGGATAGGAATGTCCTCAACGGACAGGGTAGCAGGGTAGCGAGCAGCTGGAGTGCGCAGCATCCATCCAGCAAAGGTGACCCGAGTGTCCGGACGGGGGACGCACCGGGACGCACCGCCTCTCCTCTCTCATGCGCCATCTCTGTTTTTCTCAGAACCTTTCTACTTCCCCTCTGGCTGAGCCCCCACACTTCGTTGAACACATCAGGTCTACCTTACTGTTCTTAAAGAAGAACCCTTCTCCCATGAACACGCTGTTTCCTGGAAATCGAGCTCTCCTCTACAAAAAGAATAAAGACGGCCTATGGGAAAAGATTTCTTCTCCCAGAAGCTGCAAATAGGAATTACCAAAGAAAGCAACTTTTTGGCGTGGCAAAGACTATCGATGGGGTTTGGAATCGGTAGGAATTTGCAATCCAGTAGTGTTAGGTCATCATTCTTACTCAGTCTTATACGTAATTTTCAAAATAAAATCTTATTTTGGCAAAGGCACGTGTTCGCGTTGACTTTGTGCTTCCCTGTTATAAAGTCAACGGTCAGCGGAGAGGGCCGGAGAAGAAGCAGCGTGACAGGAAGCGCTGCCGCTGAGAAGCACGGGAAATGCAAGCCAACTACTGAACAACCTGCGCATTACAGAGCTGTGGCCCCCCACGTGTTCCGGAAGCTTCATCTCACCGCGCTGGGAGGCCAAGCTGTGCAGTCTACTAGTAAAATGCTCAAATTGTAGTGATTATGCACATTCTGTTTTTAGAAACGTTTTGTTTCTAAAAATGTTACTGTGCCTGATAAAACAGGTTTCTAAACTGAGTTCACCCGTAACAATTCCAAGAACCTTTATTGAAACCAACATTCAAATAGTATCTCAAGGGGGAAATTTTGTTTCCGCAAAACTTAACAATTCCAAATATATAAAAACACTTAAAAATCTCATTAAAGGTGATAATTTACCCTTCCCCATGTTATCTGTTAGACTTCATTGACCAAATAAACAGGGAAGACTGTTTAATCATCTGCACCAAAAAAAAAAAAATTGCGTCTTGACAAGTGGCAAATGTCAAAAATCACTTCAGATCAGAGGAATTAGAGGCTTAATGTGGTATAACTAAGGCTTCCAACACAACAGTCCACAAACCAGTGTGAATTCCTACCCTCTCGGCCGCATCTTCAGCTACAGAACGCGATGCCATGTTGGGGAAGAGACCGCAGGGTGGCAAGCGTCTTCCGGGGCGGGAGCCGGGCGAGGGGCTGCAGGCTCCTGACCTGAGTAGGGCCTCCAGGGAGCAGTGCGCACGCAGCACGTTAGTGTCAGCTCCGTGTCGGGGAGCCTACGCCAGTCTTTCAGATGAACAGAAGTGAGCGGTGCAGGAGGCACCGATTTAAAAGCTACCAGTATTTCAAAATATACAGATATATGGTCAAGAAGAGACTTTACAATTAATCTGAACAGATGAGTCCTCGGGTCTGTTTACAAAGAGTAGTATAAAAGGGAGGAAAGGTCCTGCCGCACACGGAGCGGGCACGCGGGCACAGACCTTCCTCAGCCTCCAGGAAAGCAGCAGCGGGGACAGCAGGCTGCCATGTCCTTCCTTAGGGTCCCAGGAGAAACCCACTTTCAGGCCAACCAGGGCTGTGTCTCCTGCGGCTCCGCTAAGACAGGCAAGGAATGCTGTCACCCGCACACTGCGGGAACCCCAAGTCCTGGCAATAAGTCTGTGCAACCTAATCTTTACATTTAGAGGGATGAGAGCAAGCGTTTCAAGTGGCGGGCACCTGAAATTCCCTGTTCTCTTCCGTGACTAGTGTTCTGTAGTAACTTAGGGGGATGGTGCTGTACAGCTGGGCAGGGCGGAAGCAGCTGTTAGGCATACAATGAATGACTTCCTTCCAAGAAAGCCTGGCTTTCAGGCATATATTTGTGCAAAAGTCCAGGTTCTGCACAAACAACAGGAACTTTTATCATGGGCACGTGGCCCGGTGCACGCTTTCAGTGTAACATGGTCAGTGCAGCCTCACACCTCCACGCAACTCTTATCTCAAGCTCTCCAGCTCTTCTACCTGCAGGTGGTGATCTTCGGGGTGCTGGGCCTTGTTCTGGAGGGCTTCGGTGGGGCTGGCCTGAGGCGTGGGGGCCTCGGGGGACTGCTCGGGACTGGGGGACTCTAGGCTACTGTGCTCCGGCCCACCGGCCAGGTGTTCCATCTTCTCCAAGTCTTCAATGTGGCTGACAGAGCTGGTGTCACTCACGGTGTCAGAGCCTCGCACGGATCTCCTGAAGGGCTTGTGGCCTAGGAGAGACGGGATGGATGGCGCCGAGCCGCAGGGACGCGCTGCAGGCCTCTGCGGTCACAAGCTTTAATGCATAGATGCCCGGCCAGGCAGCTTGTAGACGAGTGCTCGCAAGCCAGGCCACAGCCTCTGGTCCCCGGTAGGACAGGCACACGGCCTCAGGCAGCCTGTCTCCAGACCCTAACCTGCCCCAGGGCGCCACTGAGGCACTACATCGGGATTAAATCTCAAGAAGAATGAGTGGCTGTTTGCAAGGCCAATGATGGCTAGGCTGCAGTGAAGAGAAACAGGACTTCAGGTAAAGAATCAGGAAGAGAAAGGCAAGAGCAGTGAAGGGGGAGGGGACTGTTCTGCGGGCTGCAGGATAATAGTAATAAACGAGGCCGGGGAGTCACGTACCTGGAAGTCTGGGTTTGCCGCGAGCTCCCGAGGGGGTCGGGGGCGGCGTCACTCCCGTCCCCTGTACCTTGTAGACATACGTGTGTTCTGTGGACTCCAAGGAGCCTGATGGGGAAAGAGAGGCATGGGCACAGACTCCTGGCACAGGGTTGAGTGCCCTGGGAGATGCATTCAGCTTGCCCACCCACCGGTGGGGAGCTGGGCATTGCTGAGCCTGCCAGGAGCTGGACAGAGCTGCCCTGCATCCACCTCCTCAGCGGGGGGGGGGGGGGGGGGGGGGGGGCGGTGGCCCACAGGGGATGGGGCCCTGGGCCGATGGAGGATGGCCTGGAGCAACAAGGAACACACGCCTCTGCTGGAAGCTGAGAACTGGCACACTGAAAACTCAAATGCAGCCATCATTCCCTGGGGAAGGAGTAAGGAAGGGACCTGAGGTTTGGGGGCCGTTTCCCTCATGGAACTTCTGCATCTTTTCCACACTCCAGCAACTGGAAGTCGTCCCCTGGTTGGCTGTGTCCTCCCCAGCACGGCACTTGGCCACGCAGAACACTCATGAGGACCTCAAGGGAGAGTCACGCGGCCCCAAGCCCCAGATGGACACCATCTGGGGTTCCTTCCAGAGGACCCAGAGACAGAGGAGCTGTGAGGACGGGGTGACGGGAGTGAGGCCAGCACACTTTCAGCCCTACCTGCAGTTAGGTTAAAAGTTCTTCCCTTTTGTGAAGTTTGGACTGGAGAAAACCAGTTCAGCACGGATCCTACCACAGGGATCTGCCGCAGCACTCCCTGCAAGACAAGCGTTCGCTGGGACCAGGCGCCGCGCGGGGCCCCTCCCGGCGGCTCGTGCCCAGCGCCGCCTCACCTCCTCCAGAAGCCGCTCCTCGTTGGCCTTCTGCAGCTGAACCTGAGCTTCCTGAATTCCTTTCCGAACAACTTCTGTCATGTTTTCCAGAAGCTGTGGGAAGTAAGAAAGGTGTTATTTGTCCAAGCTTCTTGACTGTGGCCTAGAAAACTGTTAACAGCAATAGAGATGCTGTTCAAAACGGTCAGTAAACAGAATTCTGTATTGAAATGCCAGGGTCAAGGGAAGGCGAGCGCGTAGAGGCCCGGGCAGCCGCACAGTGGCCTCACTGGCAGGGTAACAGGGAAAACAGCTCCTTACAACGATCTTCTCCATGGTGAGCAGAGGCAGCAACAGCAGTCTAGTTTGAGGACTCCCGCCCCCGTGGGGACAGCTGTTCCTCAGCTTCCTTCTCTTCCCACCCACCCCACCGAGTCACAACTTAGACACACCTTTGGTTTAGAGATGTCCACGCTACCCTGCCAACAAGCCAGCGCATTTCCAGTAGGAAGCTGGTCTTCAGGACCCAGCCCCTCCCCCTTACCCCCCCAAAGACCCAGCTCCTTTGAGGAAGAGCCCTGGACACAGCACAGGCCCCTCAGTGACGTCACTGAGCGCGCCAGGAATCAAGGACACTGCCAGGGAAAGGCTGAAAGGAGCAGACACTTCTGAGGATGGCATCTGCCTTGCTAGCTGGCCAGGCGGCCAGGCAGAAATACTGACAGGCCTCACACACCCGTGAGTTTTCCTCAATCTCCCGGGCTGTGACGGCAATGGTTTCCACAAGCTCGGACACGTCTACGTCGTCGCTCGCCATTCCGATGTAAATGCAGCTCTTCATGCTTCTGTACTCGGGGCCTGCGGGAAGACACGGGTGAGCGTGGCCCCACGCCCTCCATCCCCAGGGCGACCACAGCACTGGGGGAGGGCGCGTGTGGCACGTGCAGCAGGGGGCGCGGGTGGCCGAGGAGAGCCACACTCTCCCCTGCATGTAAAGCCCCGGCTTTGGAGAGCAAGCGGCCCTTTCAGGGGTGCAAGCGGACTTGTAAGCGTAATTACCCATTTTAAATGTAAGGTCAGATTCCAATTCATTTAACTTTTTCAGGAGTCCAGCGTGGATTTTATCCCCCTCCGGATCTGACTTCAAACTGCTCTTATCATCATTCGCGTGTTCATACCTGAAACAGTATCAAGCATCATCAGTACTTCAATCTGGAGATCAGGAGCTCAGGAAGCGAGGGCAAGGGAGCCCCTAGGGACGGTGTCTGGATGGAAAACTTTCAGGACTGTCTTGTGTGTGGCACACCACACCAGGGCTGCCTCACTGAGCCTGGCTCGGCTTGCCTGCCCCCCCCCCCCCCCCCGCCCTACCCCCCCCCCCCCCCCCCCGCGGCCCCCGGCCTCTAAATGGCCAGATGTCTACTGAGTCCTGCACAGATGGCTCTACGACTCCAGCGCTCTGGACTGCTATGCACGCCATTACCTGACAACCCCTATCCCAGGCCAGTTGGGGTCGTCAACATGGAGGAGGCCTGCTGTAGCCTCCACTTCCTGCTTGAACTCCTCCCGCAGCTGCAGCGTGCACGTCAGCACCGGCAGCTTGCTCTCGATGCAGGTGACCAGCTGGTCCACGTCCTCTCCTCGAGTTCCTAACGCTGTAAACCCACAGAGAATGATGAGGATGGCTTAGGGAGAGGCTGGGAACTGGGGCGCTCCACCCCACTGTGGAAGACCGAACCACAGCGGAGGCTGCTGTAGATCTAATGGCCAATGAAATGCTCTGAGAAATCCAGTTGTTCTGACACGAAGAATCCTATCACAGGTTAAAAAGGAGCCCAGCATCTCTAAGATGAGTGTGGCACCGGCTGGTGTCTGGAATAACTTCTGGGCTGAGGGGTGCACTGCTGCTCTCCCCTGACACTGCCGCTCTGTGGTGTCCCCAGGGTGGAGGCCTTTCTTTGCAGGACAAATGCCTGCATGTCCCAACTTGGATATGTTTGAGAAAAAAAAAAAAAAAAACCTTTATAACAAATGTTGAAAGACACCTTAGGAAAAGAATCAAATGTTTTCTAAAAATGTTTTAAGTCAACTCACAAAAAGCAAAACCAGCTGGGCACCAGTGGCTCACGCCTGTCACCTTAACTACTCAGGAGGCTGAGATCTGAGGATCATGGTTCAAAGCCAGCCCGGGTAGGAAAGTCCGTGCAACTCTCATCTCCAATGAACCACCAGAAAACTAGAAGTGGCGCTGTGGCTCAAGTGGTAGAGCACTCGCCTTGAGCTGAAGAGCTGAGGGACAGTGCCCAGGCCCAGAGTTCAAGCCCCATGACTGACCAAGGAAAAAAAAAAAAAAGAAAAGCAAAACCAGATTTCTTTCTTTTTTCAGTTTTTTGTTTTTTTACAACAAAGTCTCCCTAGGTAGCTCAGGCTGACTCAAACTCAAGGTCCTGTCTTAGCCTCACTAGCGCTAGGATTACAGGAGCACACCACAACGAAAAAAAGACACACATTTAAGGACACCATGAAATCTGCACACATTAGTCTTTACACCAGTGGCAGAAGGAATTGGGGAAGCAGCCTGGGGCTCATGAATCCTGCTCAAGGTCGCAGGGTGGCTGAGAAGGCTTCCTCTCATCAAAGCCAACAGGTTTCAGGCCTGTGAGAACCCCCAGGGGCTGTGAAAAATATAGGCAGGGTCCTTACCTCCAAGGTGCTGCAAGGGGACCAGGAAATATTTATTCTATCCCTGTTTCTCCCAACTTTAACCCCATTTCCTTGCTGAAGCTTAAAAAAACTACTGAGGCATGGTGAGAGTAAAACTCCACCCCGCGATCTCTTCATTTTCCCTGTCAGAGCATGGTGCTTTGCCTTCAGAGAACAGATGCCAACTTCATCCTGCACCCTGGCACCAAATGTCAGATGGTTGGCGGCCGCAGCTAGGTTTGAAAACTCCACTGGGGAAAGTGCCATGTGCGGGGACGGAAAACCCAGAGTGCTGGGTCATGGCAGGAACCCAATGACCCAGGAGCCTCACTGTGGAGAAGTTACACTGCAGTGCTGATCTGCCTAAACTTAGTCCCAAAGAGAGAGAGGCTGGAGGCAGAGAGGAGAGAGCTAGGTGGAGTGAGGCCCGTCACCCCGCGGCTTGGGCTCCAGTGGACGTGGCCAGTTTTCCCCGGGAAAAACAAAGAGGGGGGACCCCAGTGCTTACCTGCTGCTGTCGTCAAGGGGCTGAACCGCACACACATGCCCTCGGCCTCCAGATCCATGACGGTGAGGCCACTGGCGGGCACCAGCTGTTTCAGCTGCTCTCCCAGCTGCAGGGAAAGTGCTCAGCTCCAGCGACCCCCTCCCCGTCCATGCCTTGCCCACTCTACCCTGGCCACAGCCACTGCTGGAGCCAGCGACCTCCCTCTTGTCAGCCCCTGCGTAGAGAAGTGTGTGAGACGCGGGCAAGCCACTTAGACACACTTGGGAGTATTTCCAAATTGACCCTTGTGTCACTGGTGTGGCACACTGGCAAGCCCTGCAGGCCCCACCGCGCCAAGCGCTCAGCCGTGTGGCTACAGTCACTGCTCTGGACAAATTACAACGCAGCAAGGCCCTGGGGCCACGTCATTTAGGACATTCTTAAGCCTGAAATTAAGGTGCTACTTCAGTGCCCTCAAAGCTGCCCGAACGCAGTGCTCCGCCACACTTCCGTGCGGGCTGCGGTGGTGCCGACGCCACGTCCGGCTGATGCTCACGAGGCTGCAGGATGTTTGCGGCATGGTGGCCGGACATGGATGGCAGCAGGGACTCAGACGACTGAGCAATCTGCGGCGCTGCCAGAGGCGACTTCAGGAGCCCATTCAGACTGGCGCCCCGAATGAGGCCAGAGCCTTGCCAGGGGCCCCCGCCTCGAGCTGATTCTACCCATACCCACGGTCACCCGGTCACCCGGGAGTGAGGCGGTGGAGGGAGCAGGAGACCCCGCCGTCCTTACCCAGCGGTTCAGGGCGTCACAGGAGTGCCTCTCCCGGCCGACTGCCGAAGGGGCCATGTTGGGTGCTGGGACAGCCTTAAGCCCCGGATCTGAAGCCAAACACAGAAGGATTCATGCCCAGAAATGGCTGGGTTAAATAATCCAACCCTGATTCACTTAGATCCCCCTGGAGGCCCCCAGGCAACAGCCTCCTATACTCCTAACGGGCGGGGTGTCTGAGCCGGTCAGCGTCTCACCAACTCTCTAACCCAATGCATTCTCCAAAACACAATTCTTCATTCCCTTAACGATAGGTCTGCTTCCTGTGAGCTACCGGCCAGCAGGGCCCGAGCACCACGGCAGTGACTCCTTCCTTACTGTGGGCCTGGCTTCCTCCTCATGCCAGACCAAGGCAGACCAGGTTTCACCCTAGCTGAGCAAACTGACCAGAAAACCCACTGTGCTGCTGCCTTCTAGAAGGGAGTCGGGGCTCCACTATGGCCCTTCAGCTGGGCAGGAGATGTTCCTGTGAGCCACTGCACTCGTTCTCATATGGTCTGGGGTGGCCATGGACCGGCAGCGGGAGCCAGCCTCCTGCAGGGTGTGAGGCCTGTGTGTGAAGCTGGGGAAGCTGGGGAGCGGAGCTACAATTGGGAGGATGCGGACGAGGTCTCTGGGTGGGTTGTGAGGGGGTGGCCACCTTCATTACAAGTTCACCCACTGCCAAGTGCACGAGGGATGCGACAGGCTGAATGTGGGGTCAGAGGTCATCTGGTTGGTGACACTTTATTCCCAGGCTCCATGCTCCTGAATCTACATCTCTGGGCACGAAGGCCCACATATCTCAAGCCCAGCCGCCGCCGCTGGCATTTGGGAGCTGGAAACTAGAGCAAACACGAAGGCATGCAGGACTGGCGTTCAAATGAAGATCTGAGCAAAAACCTTTCGCACTATCTGACCTTCCCTCCTTTTCTTGTACTGGTGCCAGCATCAACGCTGGCCCGCACCACCCGTGCCAGCCCCTCCTGCCTCACTGCCCTCCACACAGGAGAACCCCACCCCACAGGATGCGTGCATGCCTTCAAACACTGCCTGCCTTCCAAATACATCAACTCAAGAACATCAAAGATGAATTATATTGTACTATTTAAATGGTATCAAATTAACAGCCCGTAGACATGGACACCAAAGAACCCTTTTCCCAAAATCACCTACCTGAGCCTGGCAATTCCTGGAAAAACCTGAACACGACTACTGGAGAGCTGAGCTCATCTTCCACCTGCACAAACAGAAGCCTGGTGTTGCTACGTGCCCAGTGAACCAGTTTGGAAATGGGCAGAGTGGTGCCCGCCCCTACCAGATCACTCAAGGGCTCTTCAGGTTCAGTTGCTAGAGCAGCAGAGAGCAACGGTCTGGCAAAATGTTTGGAAGTAAATGACCCCGCTGTAAGAGGGCCTGGTGCCCTGGTATGCAATCTCAACTGCACCTGCTCAGTGCTTGTGTAGGGAACTAGACACATCGCACACTACCTCGCCACTCGGCATAACCTCATGACATGAGAGCGCCCTGTCCTGTGCTAGCACGCACTAGTGCACACATCCAGTGGCCATCAGCTCCGCCCTGCTGTGCAGGCACACGCTGGGCAGCTATGCCCCCGGGCAGGCTCTGTGGTACTTCTGCAGGATGCAGGTCTCTGTCATTCAACGACAGCAGTGTCACAGCCCGAGTGAAGAAACTCAGGACAAGAGGACAGGTCCTCTCAGAGCACCCGAGGGTGGCCAGTCCTAGAGCCCTGCCTCTCCGGGGATTCCCACCCCGTCAGCCACCCGAGGAGCTAGATTCCACATGGAAATGCCGTTTAAACACTGCTTAATGGCCACAGAAATGAAACTATTACTGCCTTTAAAGAAACAAGAGCTTAATATTTAAGTATACTGGAGAAAGCCCAATGGGCAAGTGGGGACAAAAAAAAAAAGGTGACAAGCCAGCCATCCCCACTGAGGCATGAGCTACAAGCCAGACTTCTAATTATGTTGCTTCTCTCTGTGACCTCTAGTCTCAAAGGCCTGTGTGTGTAAGAAACACTTTACAGTGTTATTTACATAAACTTCAAGTGTGAGCCACATGGTAGACAGAGATTTATCAATTCTATGAACTATCTGAAATACTAGATTAAGTATAGGAACGGCAGAACATTCAGACTACTGCAGGCAGGGCTCAAATAAAAGCAGAGCCCAGAATAAGGGGCGACAGAGAAGGAAGACAGGCAGCCAGACCAGCCAGGCCGCAGCGCAGCGTGGCCAGTGTGGGTGTTACTGACCCCAGGAGGGACCATGGTGAGCTGGCTTCAACCGGAAAGCCTGAGCAGGGAAGGAAGGCAGGGAAGGCTATCTAGGAAGCCGCTGCTGAACAGGAGGGCTCTGCACTGGGAGCTGGGAAGGAGGAAGCAGAATGAAGATTTTTTGAGGGTCAAAGGAATGGCGTGTGAAAAAAAAAATCTCAGGACTAGACAGCCGTGTTCACTAGTATGCACTGAATAGGCAGTCGCTGCAGCGTTGCCCATGTAGTTTGCCACCGGAAGAAGGCGTGGAGCTCAGGTTTATGCCTGGGCTAGGTCTGGCCTTTTTTACATAAAATGCTCTAAAAGAACTGGTGATTGCCAGGAATGGTGGTGCATACCTGTAATCCTCACATCGGGAAGTAGAGGCAGAAGCTACTCAAGTTCAAGACCAGCCCTGGCTGCATAGTAAGACCCTCCTCAAAAAGAACCAAGGGGATCAAACTCTAGAAGAGCACCTGCCTACCATGCACAAAGCTCTGGGTACTGCGAAAAACAGAACAGAGTAACCAGCACCATCAAGCTCTGCTACTTGGAGGTAAGGGATGGGGGAGAGAGGACGAACAGAAGAGTCCAGTGGGCTTCACGAGGTAGGTGGGGAGGGAGGAGGCGCAGTCTGGCTCTGCCTTGAGTGCCAGCCGCGCGCTCACCTTGGCCCCCGTGGGTCCCTGTGCCCCCAGTCTATGCATCCGCTGCCCTTCTATGTGACAGCTGAGCCAGCAGCCTTGGGAAGTTAAAAATGACTCAGTGTCACAGGATCACCCCGTGACACTGCTGAGAGCAGAATGCGGGTCTCCTGACTCACAATCATGCCCCTGCTGCTCAACGACCCGCTTCTCCCAGCTAGAATCTGGGCCACCTGGCTCCAAAGTCCTAGTCAGAAGGCGACGTGGAGTAGCCCCTGAAACCTAAATGTGCGCTAAGCAGAATCTGCAATAAACTCAACATTACACTCTACTCTGAAACACTGAATGATCATATGGAAATCAAAACCTAACCTGTGGGTTTCCTGAAATTCTAAAATACAGAGAAAACAAACCCACATGGGCACTCACAGCTGTTGCTGGCACTGCTAAGTCCCCATTCCCGAGTGTCTCAAGTTCTTACCCAGGACGACGAGGGCAGGGCCACCTGCCTCTCCTCATCCCCTCGCCCTCCCCACCCACCCCAGCAGGTTTCAGAAAAAATAGCTCAACAATTCTGGATTGCACACCTTTCCGTGTGACGAGGAGTAATGGCTGGGCAGGTGAAGCTGTGCTGAGTAAGCTCTCTGCGGAATTCTAGGAAGTTGTTTCCTCTGGCAGTAGTTAGGTTTGAACTTGGTCGCATGCGTGCTAGGCAGGTGCTCTACCACTGAGCCATGCTCCCGCCCTTTTTGCACTGGTTATTCTGAGATGGGGTCTTGCTTTCTGCCTGGCTTGTACTTAGATTGTCATCTGCCTATTTCAAGCTCCCTGTCATAGTTAGGATGACAGACGCATGCCACCACATCCAGTTTCTTCTGCTGAGATGGAATCTCAGATTGTTTTTGCTTTTTGTTTTTGTCTGTTCCTATGCTGGTCTGGAACCTCGATCTTCCCAATCTCCATCACACAGGTAGTCAGGTTTCATGTCTAGGCCACCAACGCCTATTGAGAATCCTAAATTTTAGCAGGATAAATGGATTCTATGAAAGCTATAGGAATTTAAATAATTGTATGGTGTCATTTTATCCCAAAGAATGCTTTTATTGGAGCCACTCCACTGAGGTGTATCGCTTCTGGGGAAAACCATTCTGTAACTGAACCTAAAAGAAAGTTATTTCAAAAACAGAAAGTTAGATACCATACCAAGACTTTGATGTGGTCCACTTTCTTCAAACTTTCCTGTAATCTCTGACTCTGCAAATGACAAAACACAATGTGTGTGATTTCATTAGATTAACACAATAGGTACAGTATGAGGATCTTCACAGCACTTCAAACATAGGCCTCAGGTATCTGTAGCTTGATCATTCTAAGTCTGGATGTCAACTTCTGCAATTCAAATCTGCAAATACGCTTCAATCTTTCAATTACATGTACGAGGTCCTGACTTCAAACCCGACTCAGTATCTCCCAAAACAAAAGGTACAGGGCTCAAGAAGCTGTTAGTAGTGAGATATTTGTAAGTGTCCTATTAGCAATGGGAGTCACTGATGTTATTTGCGAGAAAGCTGCTGAGGGAGAAGGTAGGCGCAGGGCAGCTGAGCACTGGAGCAGGAGGGGAGACCGTAACTACGAGAGCAGCGCGTGGCACCCGGCTAAGCTTCCCGACCTGTCATTTCTAGCTATGATCTTGACCAAGTTCTCTCGACTGTAAAGAGATGGCAGGATGTGTGTCCTGAAGAGTCTCGAGTGGTGCTCAGTGACGCACCCCGTGTGATGTGCGCCACGGCCACTGTCCTCATCAGTCCCTCACACCTCCTCCCGGTTCCCTCAGCACTGGTATGCCCAGAGCCATCACCTGCCTCATGGTGTCGGGCTACCTCCACAGCAGCACACACAGAGCCCCCAGGAAACCTCTTCTTCATGGGCCGTTGGCAGAGGAACTTCTGTCCGGTGAAGTTATGGGACCAAGTAACACAACACACACTGTGCTTCATGGTGACGGGCACCAACAAAATGCTAACTGCCACCTTCCTCCTCCTCCTCCTCGAGGGAGGCGAGGAGGAAGAGGATGAGGAAGGGGGAATGGAAGGCGCAGCAGTTGAGCGAGGAGTTAGCATGGGAGGAGGCCAGGGCGGAGGTGGCCTCAGGGCATCACAGTGAGTGTCATCAGTATTTTCTTGCACTCCTCTGGCCCAGGGGAGTTGAAGGCTGTCCCTGGGGTACCCAAACCCTCCCCAAGCCGATGAAGTTACTACAGCAATAGAACCAAATCAAGATATGAGCTAGTAGCATAAAGAGGGGATTTTAAAAATATACATATTGTGCTTTTGTAAACACAGATCTTCAGTCTTTAATGTAGAAAAGAACTTGTGAATGAGGACTACTGATGGAAAAATAGGAAAGTGATTATTTAAATATAAAAATTGGAAAGGGTGACATCGATCAAGATGTCTTATACTCAAACTGACATGTCAAACTGAAACAAAGCCCTTTGTACAACTACGTAGAATATCTATTATACATATCCATGTGAATGTGTGTGTGTATGACACTTAGGAAGTGCCAGCTCCCCAAAAACACACACCCACATTTTAAATTTTAATATTTTTTGAGGTGCTGAGATTGATCTTGGAGCTTTGCATACACTGAAGATGTTTTGCTACTGATCTACCACCTTAGCCCAAGAACATATTTAAAGCGAGACTGAGTGCAGAACTTAGGTGGTGATCAGATAGTGCCCTAAGTAACTTTTTTTGATTTTGGTCAGTCACGGGGCTTGAACACCAGGCCTAGGCACTGTCCTTCAGCTCTTCAGCTCAAGGTGAGTGCTCTACCACTTGAGTCACAGTAACACTTCCGGTTTTCTGGTGGTTTACTGGAGAAGAGAGCCTCACGGACTTTCCTGCCTGGGCTGGCTTTGGACCGTGATCCTTAGATCTCAGCCTCCTGAGTAGCTAGGATTACAGGCGTGAGCCACCAGTCCCCAGTCCTAAGTAGTTTCTTTAGTGACTTATTGCTGCTACCTGGCAGGGTAGACAACAGAGGCAGTGTTGAGAGGGGACACAGGACAAAACGATACTTAGTTTAGGCAAGCTCAGCTCCTGCACTTCATAAAGGTAACATCATGCTTTCTAAAAGCTGTGGTTTTATTGCTGGAACCCAATCTCCACGGCACAGTGAGAGAGAGGCAGGGGAAGTGGCTGGGGCCAGAACATGGAGCCTTCATGGTGGGATCAGAGTGCGCTTATAAAACCAGCTCAAAACAAACAACAAAACCAAAACAGCCCAAATGAGCCTGCTCTTGCTGGCGTGTGTGCGAGCAACAAGCCCTCTCTCCCAGGCACTGAGTGTACTGGCCCTGGAATTACTCATTCTAAGGCATTTTGTTACAGTACCCAACAGATCAATATGCTACAGGATTATTATACATTTCTCACAAATAGAATACCCTGAATACAAGGAGAATTAGACTTAGATGCCCAGAAACCTCCAATTTAGGAACCCAAGCCAGTGTGTCACAAATCCAGGCCAAACTGGGCATGGTGTAACATGCCTCTAATGGCAGCACTGGGCACACTGAGGCAGAAAGATCAAGAGTTCACGGTCAGTTTGGACGTCCTATCTCAAAAAACGGAGGGAGGGAGGGAGTGGGGGGCTACAGTGGCTCATGTTTAGCTATTTGGGAAGCAGAGACTGGGAGGCTAGAGGTTCAAGGCCAGCCTAACAAAATGTTAGCAAGACCTTATCTCAACTAATAACGGGGCATGATGGCATGTGCTGGATAATGGCAGCTTAGCAAGGATGTGGACCCAAGTTCAACACCAGCGCCACACAAATAACCACCTACCCAACACATGCAAAAACACATACAAATATGGACGGAAAGAAAGGAACAAGCCACGCAGTGGTAATTCCAGCTATGTGAGAGGTAGAGAAAGGAGGACCCAGGTTCAAGGTTAGCTGAAACAAAAGCTGACAAGACTCCATCTTAAAGAGCAAACCAGGTATGGTGGATACATGCCTAGCATCCCAGCTATTTGGGAAGCACAGGCAGAAAGACTGCCAGACAAGTCCAGCCAGGTAAAAAGTCTGAGGCCTGATCTGGAAAATATCTGGAGCAAAAAATGGTTGGGCCAGTTCAAGTGGCGGAGCACTTGCCTCGTAAACAAGCCCTAAGATCAAAACCCCAGTGCTCCCAAAAAATAAAAATAAAGAATATTTCCCCCCCTTTTTGCCTCCTCCCCTCTCTGAAAACCAATTTAACTTCTCAACCCTGGCTAACAGCAGTATTCCCTTTATTCTGGTTTCACTCAAACATAATGCTGGGTGTCAGCAACCTCTTCCAGAGCATGCAACAAGAAACAAGAACAGCCGAAGGGCCTTCAGCCAGTTGGTTATGAGGCGGTAGTCAGGGGGTGAGCAGCCAGGTGGTTATGAGGCGGTAGTCAGGGGGTGAGCAGCCAGTTGGTTATGAGGCGGTAGTCAGGGGGTGAGCAGCGGACAGGGGCAGAGACGGCAACCGTGGTCACTGCCGAGGTGTCTACTCACCAGCTGGCAAGCGTGCTTTATCCTCTCCACGATGCCATCCAGTCCCAAGTATTGTAAAGATAACCAGAGAGGCAGGGCACGGAGTTTGTCTGCTGGCTTATTTGATGTGAGTCCGGCAACTAGAGTCTAAGGGAGTCCAGTATGGATACATTAATTGAAGAAGTTACTCTGCGGCAGAGTAACTGCTATCATCTACAAGGCACAATGTGGGGGGACTCATGCCAGGCACACAGCCTGAGCACCATCCGATTGCCACTGCCAGAGACCTGGTAGTGTCCAAGGGCTCAGGGGAAAGAAATGGCAAAGCTACTCCAAAATGAGAATCCTGATGGATTCAGAAATTCAGGAGACAGCTACACAGCTACACAGGAAGTGAAATGGGAGGACCACAGTTCCTGGAACCAGCCCAGGCCAAAAGAAAAAAAAAAAAAGTGAGACACTATCTCAAAAAAGGAAGCTGGTCTCAGTGATACACACCTGCAATCTCAGCTGTGCAGGAGTATGAGGTAGGAGGACCATCTAAGGTTGGCTGGGACAAAACTACAAGACCCTATCTAAAAACTGAACTAAAGCAGAGTGCTTGTCCAGTGAGCTGAAGACTCAAACTCTAATACTGCCAAAAAAGTCCTAATGAAGCAAATGGCAGTCCCTTATTCTGAGCAAGCATCCATCCAGCCGTAAATGTAACTAACTGAGCAAGACATCAATCGTTGAGTCATCTGGCATGTGCTTGTCACTAACTCTTCTATTACCAACCAATAGAACTTAGGATTTTTAAAAATGCACTAGGGGTCAGGATGTAGCTCAATGGTAGAGCTTTTTTTTGGGTCCGGTCGTGGGGCCTAAACTCTGGGCCTGGGCGCTGTCCCTCAGCTCTTCAGCTCAAGGCTAGTACTCTACCACTTGAGCCACAGTGCCACTTCTGGCTTTTTCTGCTTATGGGGTGCTGAGGACTCAAACCCAGGGTCTCATGCATGCAAGGCAAGCACTCTACCATTCAGCCACCTTTCCAGCCCCTCTTTTGTTTTTGTTTGTTTCGTTTTGTTTTTTTTTTTTTTTGTCGGTCATGGGGCTTGAACTCTGGGC